TCCCTAAGTTATGCTTGTTTTCTCCATTTTTTCCTTTTTAATTCTTCTTTCAACTTTTTCTTTTTAAATGTTCACATACAAGTGGAGTCCCCCCTGGGGCCCTGCTAAGCCGGCGGCGGCGGCAGAGGCGGGCCGGACGCCAAGGCTGCGTCCGGTGTCCCCCCCGGGGCCCTGCTAAGCCGGCGGCAGCAGCATGCGCCTGCCCCCCCCTCCCGTCGCCGCGTGGCCTCTGGGCCAGTCAGGTGAAACTGAAGAGAAGGATTAAGAACTTGCAACTATAAGCAACAGAAAGAACCTTTAACTGCCTTAAACCAACTGAGAAATACACTGTAGAGAAGGATTTTATCTACCTATGGACAGTGAGAAGATGATGGATACCAGCCCTGCATTACCTCCGGCAAGAACAGGAACTACCCTGCCATTCTTAGGGAAGCCAGACACCAGAGGATAAGTCACGCTGCAGACCTCCACAACACCGTTCCTGCTAACCACAAGATGGCTGCTGTGCCGCATCAACTGATGGTCAACTCTGCTTGCCAGAACTGCCTTCCGGAGACTGTATTCCATGGAGACTCACCTACAGTTGCGGAACTGCACGAGACCCACACTTGATCCAACCTTGAATGGAATCTATTTTCCCTATTGTTAAAAACTTTGGACTCCTGGCCCCTCTCCCTCTACTCGCAGGTATCGCATTTTCAATGACCCCTCTGGAGGATAGCTGTCCATAGAAGAGATAGAGTAATTGGGAGAGGGGGAAAGGGCTGAGGGTCAAACATAGGATAAAAAACATATTTATATGTATGAAAGTAGAAATGGAACAGTATTGGTGACGACATGCTTGATTGAGACACTATGCAGTTTATCCTAGATGGGAAACTACACTTGGTGTGTTGTGATGATACTCAGGGAATGAGTGTTAGGCAATATAATTTAATATAAAAAAAGTAATAAGCAGGAGGAAAAAAAAATGCACATTTGATGACTGAAGAGAGTTGTATGGACACAACTGGGGTCTACTTTATAATATGTTCATTCTACTCCCTGGGGTTTATGCCTAGGATCAGATTTGGATACATGTGTAAGGATATGTCAGCTGTGCTAGCTAGTGGATATACTTAGACTAATTGAGTTCATTGGTAGAACAATTGAATGGGGGGGGGGCGGAAGCCATTGAGGGCAATCATGAATGTCAGGGACAATGGAGGAGGAAGATGGGACATGGCAGAGGGTGGGGATGGGGAACCTAGGATGGCAAAACAAAAGGCAAGGTATGCAGGACACAAAAATTGGGAAATCATTTGCTGAGAACATATATGTTGATGTGCTTGATTGAGCCAATGCACAGTGTATTTTGGATGGAAAATTCATATGTGTGTTGTGATGAGAAAAAATTTATAATAAAAAACAAAGTATAAAAAAAAAAAAAGGAGAGAGAAGAGGATAAAGACAGCAGTGAACAATAGAGAGGCAGGATGTTAATGAGAAATAGATATGGTTTATTACCTGTTGATGATGACATGTATAGTATTCTCAACTGAACCGGTCTGGGAAATATTTCATGATGGGTGAAGTCTCTTTAATAAGCGGAATGAGAAATAGTGATTGACTGTTTAAAAAATTATAATAATGATTATTGGGAAAAGCATGGAAAAGATATTGAATGATAAAGCGGGGAGATTGATATCTCTGTATTGACTGACATGCATGGCATTCCCTTTTGAAAAAGCAATGGAAGTCAATGTAAAGTTATATGTAATCTAGTGTAATAGAAAGAAGATTATGATGATAATAAAATAAAAAAAAAAATGTTCACATACAAGTTAAAAAAACAGTGTGATGAGTACCCATGTGTCCTTTTCCTAACCATCATGAATGAACATTTTACTACATTTACTTTCTTTTTCTCTTCTAGTGTTCCCCTTGAATCATTTGAAGTAACTGCAGACATTACATTTGATTCCAGCTACTTCATCATATATTTCATTTAAACAAAGACCATTCTTCCACATTGCCACAAGATCGTCAGCACATCCCAACCCTTAGCATTAATTAAAAAATATCTTCCTGTAAGGTAAGCTCACATTTAAATCCCCCATTTGTGCCCAAACGTACTTTAATAGCATTATTTTTGGATCCAGGATCCAATGAAGGGTCACATATTACAATTAGTGATGGTTTTCTTACTTTCTTTAAACCTAAAGCAATCGTTGCTGCCTAACCCTTTACCAATACTTTGCTGGTTTTCACGGTGTTGCCTTTTTGAAGCATTCAGGCTAGCTGTGCAGAGTTCTACACTCTGGATCTATCTGGTTTTGTTAAATAGGCTAACTGCTTTCGGAAAAAACACTCCCTAGGCAATTCTGTGTATGTAAGGTGGCATCAGGTTAGGAAGCCAGTGTCTCCTCATGAGTAGATTCAGCCTGTGTATTTCCTGCAGTAATAATACGTGAGCGTCCATACCGTTTCCAGCACATCACATTCCGAGACACACACTGGTGGTTGCCTTGTCAAGGTGTTGTCTGATCTAATTATTATTATTATTATTATTATTGTTATTATTACTTTGCAACTGATTAGCCATCTTTGAGGAGAAATTTTAAGACTGTAGATATTCTGCCCCTCATTAAACTTCTTATAGATTCAGCACTTATTTTTCTGAATTAGGCATGACCCACTGGTTGTGAAAAATAGCAATTTTTCAAATTTAACCACTCCTTTCACATTTATCAGCAGCTCTCCAAGATGTTCTAGGTTCATCCTGTACTTTCCATGTCTTACTTCTCCTAAGATCCCCTAGCTTTTTCCGTGGCTGCCTCTATTTTTGGAGGACGCTTTTCCTGGCTGTTGATCTGTGATTACCATGTGGGATCTGGCTTCTGGGGAGCAGCGTACCTCTGCAGGCTGGAGCCGGCCCTGTCTAGAATTTCCGAGTGTATGCAGCTCAGTGAACCCTAGCTGCCATGTTGTCGGGAGTCTGTACTCTTCCTTTAAAAGTGGCTGGAATTTGCTTTAGCAGGCAATCAACTTACCAGTGGATCAACTCAATTTATTTCCCCTGAGGTTTGTTTTAAGCCTTGGTAGGGCTGGTCTAGATTATTCCGTACTTTTGTCAGGAATGACCTTAGGCGAGACTAGCCCTGCTGTTATGATATGGCTTTTTCTGAGGACTCCATTGAATTCTACGCTTCGTTCGGCCCCTCTGGCTGGGTGGAGGTCTCTGTCTCCAGTAATGGCACCTGTGGAACCCACGCAGCTTCAGCTCTGCCAGCTTTGCACACTCTCAGTTGACCATTCAGTGGAGGGCTGAAGGGGAGCCCTATGTAAATGTCTGGAACACTTTCTCTGTGCACCTCTCTCTTTTTCAGTATCCCTGCCCTATAAACTTTAGCTGCCCCAGCAGCCCTGAGTTTTTTTTTTGGGGTGGGGGAGTGGGCGGCAAGCATGCACACACATCTGACATGAGTTTGAAGCCACCAGATCTGGGACTTGAACTGTGGTTGGCCATGTGGGAGTCCAGTGATGTAACCATTACGCCAGCAGGTCCCAGCAGCCCTGATCTAAGCTCTGCCTTCTTAACTCAGTGGGTTCACTGTCCTCTGCTTGGGCTCCCTCTCTCTGTATTGTGGTCTAAAAGTGTCTCCAGAAGAAAGCCAGATGACCATGGAGTTCACACGGTATTTCCTTTTCTCGGAGACCACAGATCGGTACCACCTGCTGTCTGAAAAAAGTTCTTCTTTATAGATTTTCATTTATTTTTATACTTATCTATAGCAGGGGGCTAGTCTATTGATAGCTATTTTTACCTTATTGAGGACCTGCCAGCTCTGTGTGAACCAGGGGGTCTGCATTCCTGGTGTCTGTGTCAAGGTCGCACCAGCCATTTTTAAGCAGTGAAGGTCCTGGCAGCCATTTTGATGTGGGCGGCTCCCCACACTTTATAGATTTTCATTTATTTTTATACTTATCTATAGCAGGGGGCTAGTCTATTGATAGCTATTTTTTTTATCATGTCCAGAATTGTTGAAAAAAATTTAATTCTAAACGTAATTTATTGAAAATAAAGCACACTTTTGAACTTTTTCTGTCAACTTTTGGTAAAACTTGCTAGGAAGCTGTTTAATTTATCCAAACTGCAGACTAAGTTTGTGCAAGGATGTTTATAAATAGCCTCTTATTACCTCTTCATATTTAAAATGTACATGACCTATAGTGATTTCCACTTCTTTATTCCCGGCATTGGTATTTTGTGCATATGTGCTTTTCTTTTTGTTCTTGATCAGTGTTACCAGGGTTTTTAATCTTTTCCCTGGGCCCTTAGCTTTGTTGATTTTCTCTTTTACTATTTCATTGGTTTTTGCTCTTTGCTTTCTTTTTTCTTTCTTTTTAACTCAAGAACTTCCAAAGTAGTGAAATGAGTTTTTTTTTTTTTTTTTTTAAGAGGTTTTTGCTTTTTGAAAGATTTTTGTTATAGGGCACATGTGCTCGCTGGAGAGACAGAAAACAAGAAATCACCCTCCCATCCCACCAGGAGGGATGGCCACACTGCAATCCCTTCTCCTCCATTCTCCTCTCAGAATTTTAGGCACACATGTACATGTGCCCAGCATGACCTTAAAGCCACTAGGTACGAGACTTAAATCACAGTTGGCTATGTGGAAGTCTAGTGCCTTAACCACCCCGCCACTTGCCAGCCCCTATGGGAAAATTATTTGTAACATGTTCATAATGTGGGAATTGCTTTACAATGTTTTAAAAATATGTTAATTTTTTTTTTTGGAGAATTCTTTGCTATAGTGCCTGTGCGCTTGCCAGAAAGACAGAGAGAGACAGAGAGACAGTACCAGAGGGTGGATGGCCATGTCGCAATCCCTTCTCCTCCATTCTCCTCTTGGGATCTTGGGCACGCACGCACACGCGTCCGGCGTGAGTTTAAGCCACTGGGCCCGGGACTCGAACCCTGGTTGACTACCTGGGAATCCAGCAATAGCCATTACGTCAACTGCTGGTCCTGTAAAATGAGTTTTTAATATTGCTTCAAGCAATCAAAAGACAATCATCATAGAGCTTATTTTATTTTCTATCTTCTCATTTACCTATTCTTTTACTAGCTTTTATTTATTTTTTTCACAATAATGCATGAGAGAGAAGGAGAAAGAGCTGCGGGTGAAACGTCCTGTGAATGCCTGTCAGCCCATCTGGTTGTGGTATCACTTAGCTGTCGTGTCTATTTTTTGTCTAGATGACCTGTTCAGTGGTGAGAGTGGGATGTTAAAATTCCCCCAAATTCTAGAGACAAAGTGGAAAGAGACTGTGGGAGGAGACGAGCATAGGAAAGGAAATTTGGGGAACATAACAGAGAGGTAAGACATTCGTGGGTCACAGACATGGTTTATTATCTGTTGATGAGGACGTGTATAGTGTTCTCAGCTGGACTGGACCGAGGTGTATATCATGCTGGGTACAACCTAAATGAGAGATATAGCAATTGAATGCATAAATAATAATAATAATAGTAATAATAAAGAAAAGAAATAAAATCCTCCCCAATTAGTGTGTTATAGTCTGTCTCTCTAAGTCTAGCGGTCTTTGTTTATGTATTTGGGTGCTCTGATTAGCATGGACATAATTGTTATATCTTCTTGGTGAATTAATCCCTTTAATATGATATAGTGACCTTCTTTGTCCCTTTTTACAGTTTTTGGCTTGAAGTCTATTTAGTCTGGTGGTCAGTATAGTGACTCCTGTTTTTGGGGGGTTTCTCTTAACAAGAAATGACTTTTTTCAGCCCTTCACTTTCCATCTCTACATCTTTATCATAGCTGTGTTTTTATAAACAGCATATAGAGGGCTCTTTTTCTTTATCCGTTCAGCCAACCCGTGTCGTTTAACTTAGTTTTTAAATTTAGGTTGCTATAGGGCGTGTGCACTTGCTGGGGAGAGAGGGACAGAGAGAGAGAGAGAGAGAGAGAGAGAGGAACTATCCCCCAGGGGGCATGACTACACCACAAACTCTCCCCCCTTTTCCTTTTATGATTTCAGGCTTACACATACATGTGCCTGGCATGTTTTTCGAGCTGCTGGATCCAGGACTCAAACCATGTAATTGGCCATGTGGGATCCAGCTGCCCCCGCTGCCACTGGCTGGCCCATTAATTGGGGAATTTAATCCATTAACATTCAGTGGTATTATTGGTATGTGTGGACTTACTCATACCATTTCGTTAGTTATTTTCATAGGTTTTTCTTTTTTTTAGGATTATCTAACTTTATTTTAATTTGATCAGAGAGGAAGGGGGGAGGGAGAGAGAGAGAGAGAGAGAGAGAGAGAGAGAGAGAGAGAGAGAGAGAGAGAGAGAAAACAAGCCACCAGGCCTGGGACTTGAACAGCGGTCAGCTATGTGGGAGTCCAGTGCCCTTAACCATCATGCCACTTGCTGGCCCCCATAGTTGTTTTATATTTTCTTATTTCTATTTATGTCCTTTTGGTTTTCCTGATGTGGTACCGTTTTATTTCTTGGAGAGCTAGTTTAGGGTTGGTAAATTCTAGCAATGTTCACTTATCTGGGAATGATTTTATTTGTCTTTCTAGTTTGAAGGACCATCTTGCTGGGTATAGTATTTTTGGCTGAAATGGTTTTTCTTTCAGAATTTTGATATGTCTTTCCTTTCCCTTTTTGCCTGCATGGTTTCTGCTGGCAGGTCTGAGGTCATTCTGATGAGGTAGCCTTTGTAAGTAACTTGACACTTCTCTCAACATTTTATGTTATCTGTTGCAGGGAGCCCAGACCTGGACCAGGCACTAGCAGCCTGTCAAGTGAAGATGATCTTTGTGCTGACGCCCGGCGCAGGGCTAGGAAAGCTCGACAAAGACATCCTGCTGTTACCGTGTGAATTAAGGGAAGCTGGTGTCAGCCAGAGGAGGCCCGAGGAAACTTGTTTAGAACTATGAGACACAAGAACCATAGGACGCAAGATGCTCCACAGCCATGACCTGTTTTCCCATCCCCCATTTCAGCATAAAAGAATAAACTGGGAACGGCTCCATGCCATGGTGTTCTCCATCAGAGACACCTGTTCCACCCTATCCCGCTTTCTCTCCTTAAGTGTCTCTGTATGTTCCTTCTCGATCCATTTGTTTGTCTCCACTTGGGGATCCACGTCCCTTTGCCTCACAGACCGGGGCAGCTGGTGCCCAATGTGGGGCAAATAAATGAACAAGGAAGACCTACACAGGATAGGGCAAGTGGACACTCCTGAAAAAGCCTGGGCCCAGGAATGGAAAGGTGAGGACTGCATTAAGAGGTGTGGGGCTGGCAGGTGGAGTGGTGGTTAAAGCACTGGACTCCCAGATGGCCAAACATGGTTCGAACCCCGGACCTGGTGGCTTGCTTTCTCACTTTCTCTCTCTCTTTGGTCAAATTAAAAACATAATAATAATGAAAATTAAACAATTCTTTTTAAAAAAAGAGTCAGGTGTAAAATATGGGGATAAGGTTCTCTAAAGACAGATATGTATGTTCAAAAGCTGTTTCATGTGCTAAAAGCGAGGGGCGTTGAAGCTGGTATCAAGCAGTTTTGTCAATTCTTTGACTTTGTGCAGGAAACATGCCCCAGGCTCCCCAGTAGACAAGAATACACAAGGAAAGAAAGGCCTCTTCTCGCTTCCCCCCTTGGCAGAAGCGTTCTACGGCTCAGTGGAGAGGGAAGACATTTCCGGTCATGGAGGTCAGGGAGGCTCCAGGTCCTACTAACCTGGGACAAACAACACGCCAACATGAGCCCACGTCTTTCAAAATTCTAAAAGAGTTAAAAGCGGCTTGTGTGCAGCGTGGTCCCGCGCGCAGCATGGTCCTGAGTGCCGCGGGCGATGGCTGCACGGTCAGCGCTCCACTTCCCGGCTGGCCGGTGCTTGGCTGGAGCTGATCATCTTCTATGGAAGGCAGGTTGGTTGGAGGGAGCCCGAGAACAGGCACATCGAAACCAAGAACACGAGTACCTGTCACGTCTGAGGTATTGACAGGGACAGCTGACTTCTCTGATACTGTTCATGGGAAACCGAAAATATTTATAACCTGCCGACGGCCCAGCTTACACTAGTAAAGCTTTCTGACAATTCCGTGATACTTGCATGTTCTCATACCACAGGCTGCCTTATCATCCTCAAAGCCGAGCAGCAGCAGAAAGGGTTAACCACCATTTAGAAACTCAATTAGAGGAAGCAGAAGGGGGAGACGGAGTAATCCCTGTAACTCACTCCAAACTTTCTCTTGTCATATACTTTAATTTTTGAAAATTCCACAGCCATGGAAACTGATTACCAAGGGACAGAAAAAAGTTAAACCTTCATAAGCAAATGGAAAGGTCTTAGGTCAGGAGAGTGGAAGGGACCTGACCCCGTATTAGCATGGGGGCGAGGGTATGCCCGTGTTTTTCCTGAATCATTGCCGAAGCCAGTGAGGGTTCCAGCTCGGCTGTGAGACCATTGGATGATAGATCAGCCAGAGGGGAAGCCGATGAGACAGATACGGAAGAGGACGAGGGCCTAAATTTGGACAAAGTACCCAAGAACACTCCACCCAACAGCCATCCAGCTCCATGGATTCATGTTAGAAAAAGAAAAAGGAGGCGCTGCAGGGATGCAGAGGTGGTCCCCGTGCTCCTGCTGCAGAAATGCGGGAGCTCTGACAGACACACTGCTGGTACCCTGCGGGGCCGTGTAAATTAAGGGGGCTGCAAGTCAGCCAGAGAAGGCCAGGGGGGCTTGTTAGACCTGTGAGCACCACGGGACACAGACGCTCACAGCCACAACCTGTTTTTCCCATCCCCCATTTAACATGAAAGAATAAACCTGGGGGGTTACTTTAACTTTTTAAAATTCCACATCAGCAGATGGCGTTAACGGTTACATCGCTGGACTCCCACATAGTTGACCTCTATTCAAGTCCCAGACCCGGCAACTTAAATCTCACACCGGGTACATGTGCTGTGTGCCCTAGGTTCTGAGAGGAGAGCTGAGGAGAAGGGATATTGTGGGGTGGCCATCCCCCCGGGGGGTGATTCCTCACTTTCTGTCTCTCTCATGAGCACATGCCCCATAGCAAGTCTCTCTCTTGGGAAAAAAAAAAAAAAGAACAAACCTGGGAGCAGCTCAGGGTTGGCGTTTTCCCGCAGAGACGCGGTCGGTGCGACCCCCGCTTTCTCTCCTATGTGTCTGTGTGTGTTCTTCCGCAATCATTCACTCACTTCCACTCGAGGCTCCATGTCCCTTTGCCCTGCAGTCCGGGTACCCTTTGTCTTTTCCCTTTGCCATTTCGGCAATGACATGCCTTGGAGGGGGTCTTAGGTTGAGTCTATCGGTGTCCTTTGTATTTCCTGCATCTGTACGTCTGCCTGTCTCTAGATTTGGAATGTTTTCAGATAGCTTTTCATGAAAGAGCTTGTCTACGCCTTCACCTGTATCTTTGTATTCTGGAATATCCATTATGTGGTTATTCAGTCATTTAATGGTGAAAAAATTTCCCCTCTCTTCTCCTTTTTTTTTTTTTGAGAGGTTTTTGCCCAGTGCCCTTAACCATCATGCCACTTGCTGGCCCCCATAGTTGTTTTATATTTTCTTATTTCTATTTATGTCCTTTTGGTTTTCCTGATGTGGTACCGTTTTATTTCTTGGAGAGCTAGTTTAGGGTTGGTAAGTTCTAGCAATGTTCACTTATCTGGGAATGATTTTATTTGTCTTTCTAGTTTGAAGGACCATCTTGCTGGGTATAGTATTTTTGGCTGAAATGGTTTTTCTTTCAGAATTTTGATATGTCTTTCCTTTCCCTTTTTGCCTGCATGGTTTCTGCTGGCAGGTCTGAGGTCATTCTGATGAGGTAGCCTTTGTAAGTAACTTGACACTTCTCTCAACATTTTATGTTATCTGTTGCAGGGAGCCCAGACCTGGACCAGGCACTAGCAGCCTGTCAAGTGAAGATGATCTTTGTGCTGACGCCCGGCGCAGGGCTAGGAAAGCTCGACAAAGACATCCTGCTGTTACCGTGTGAATTAAGGGAAGCTGGTGTCAGCC